GAAAGTGAGCGAGCCACTCTTGGTATGAGGCCCCGAGCTTTCCTTTGCCATGAACTCGAACTTTTGTCGGGGTACATTTTGTCACTCTTATTATTTCCGTGGCCACCATTTCCGGGCTGACCTGTATTTTTCCATCTAGCGTATAAACTGCTGTTGGAACTGTGGCAATGCGGAGGGCAACTATTTCGGATGGTTTCTCCAATTTTGTACCCAGTATATTCAGTGTATCTGACGCTTCCATTAGGCGATTCTTTGCATCAGAGTCTATGGCGCGTATAGCAAAACCTGTGGGGACACGGTGCACGTGTTCCACATCCGATGGCGCGCATTTGGTCTGCATTGCTATAGCTTCGCGTATTCCAGATTGGGAGAGACGTCTCCACTCGTGTGTGTCCTGTAGGCGGATGAAAAGCCGATCGTCCGCTTCTACTTTCGGTCTCGTTTTTTGTACGTTCTGCGGGACTGCTGCCATCTTTGTGTTGATTCTCCCTGCATCGTTTTGCAGCCCTAATCTAGCAATTCCTGCCCATGTGTTTCCCTGGGCGCGCACCATGGGCTTGTTCTCTACTGTGGGCTTTGGGGATGGGACCCTTGGGGATACAGCGTTGGGGCGTTGGGGGAGCGATGGTGGTGTAGACTCCGGGCCCGAGTTGATAAAATGGCCAATTGATGCACGCAAATAAGCCTTCATTGATTCGACGTATACTTTATTGTCGCCCGTGGCCATCGGGGAGGGTACGGCCTCCACGCCTCTTATGGCCGAGGTACATAACAGAATCTGAGCAGACTTTTGTGCAACCCTTTGCTTTTCGGCTTCTACTATAGCTCTCAGCTCTTCGGGGCAGAATTCATCGCTAGCTGCAGTGTCAGTTTCGTTGGATGATTTCAGTTTGGGTTCAGGGGCTTCTCTAATTGTTGAGGCTGCCATAGGACCTGAGGCAATCGAAGAGCAACTCAGGTTGTTCTTGCTGGTGTCGCCAGTTTTCTCTGCCATTGTCAATGGCACGGCGACTTTTATCAGAGGCATTGTCTGCTGCTGTGTAGTCGCAGTTGCTGGCTTTTTTTGAGAAATCGTTGCCTTTTCAGCTCCGGTCGCCTCTGGCTTGGAGTGAATAGAATCGGGAAGTCTTTTCAGATCCCTAAGGATCTTATCAATGTCAACATCGCTAACATCTAACATCGTGTCATCTAGAGCTCTGTCTTCGACCAACTGGTCAATTTCCATTTCTTGACCAGGAGTCAGGGTACCCAGCTTGTCACGTAGTTTTCTTCGAACGATGTGTTTGATGTAATTGCGGTTTTCAGCGATGTTTTTCGCCCGCGATGGTTTACTGCGAACTGGGGGCATTTTGACAACCTACTAGTCGCTCACAAATTTTGAATAGAGCGCGAACGATACCACGATATCGAGAGAGGGAGGGAGAGGGGGAAAATAGAAATATTCGAAAATTCGAATTTCAAAAAATTGTAAGTGTGTGTGTGTTTGTGTTTGTAGTACTACTTGAGTCTATGACTATCTAGCACATTGAACTCCTCTCTGACCCAGGCCACACCTTGTACAGTGCTCCTATCATCTTTTGTTACTTGAAAGATCATTAATATATTACCCTTGATGAATAGCCATTCAGCTCAGTATTTACCCGTGGAATCCGGCCAGCTTTTCCACCGAACCTTCTATCCAAAAAAAAAAGATCAAATATAAAAAAAGAAAGCAGTATAAACTGCGTGCGCGAGAAAAAGTCTCGAAATACCTGCAGCATCAGCCAGGCGAGGCCTTGACAGCACACAAATGATTGAACTCGGGAAGCAATAGGAGTGTTAGTGTACAGGAGATTGGAAAATCTTTTGTAATAAAAGCTTTGTTCGTTTTTGCAATGTTTTTAGAAAAATTGTCGCAGCATAATAGTTGTATACAATATGAATTTACCTTGAAGATATGGAATATGGGGTATGTCAGATAATTCTTAATGGAAGTAATCGATGGAAGTAATAGATGAAGAATTAGGTTGTTGAGCATTCTATTGTCTCTGTGTTGGGATACATTTTGCCGATCCTAATAGGCTCGATATTTAGTATTTCCGGCCCACTGGTGTTTTTCAAACGAAAATTCCGTGTACCCACTTTTTATTTTTATTTTTGCGTCTGATTTTAATTGCGTATGCAGCTATCTAGCTATGACACAATATCAGAGAAAAGTACAGAATAGATGATTCAACGTAAAAGAAGAGCACTCATGCCCCACATTTCATTTGCAAGTACCACTGCGAATTTATAATAACTTTTTCTGCACCCCAATTCAACCCTCATCCGTGAATATCCTCCCGTGGAACTTCTTAAAAAACCTGAGCTATCCAGACACGCCTCCGTTATCCATTATCTTTCATCCGCGCGAAATGTGATCTTACGTGTCTCCTTCTGAAGTAGATTAGGTGCCTAAGCTACTCAGAATATGCCGGAAAATACCAGCTGGAGGTGGAACATAACACCTTCCATCGTTTGCTTGTTTTCTTGTTTTTATAGTGTCAGCTGCACTCTTGCAAACAAATTTTTGGCGCACACGAAGCCTAATCAGTAAAACTCTTGCCCAATTCGAAATTTCACGCCCGTCAAGACTGTATCCCTCTTCTGCATCATCTTGTGAACTTGTCCTGATCCCTCTCACGTCCATCCCAAAGAGCTATCTCCAAGATTTGTGCTCCACGCTTTGCTTCCTCCGTCGGGTATAAATATCGGCGTGAGCGTGTATTTGGTGGTCAACTGAGGCCAAAGAAGGTCGGAGGGAGGTATGGTCATTGGGATGAGGATATACTAGGTCGTACTTGTAGAATTGATGAGGCTTGGGTATGAATCGGACTCTTTGGGAGTGAAGATTTGACGTGGTAGAGTAGTTTGATTCTTTGCCTTGTGGGCCGACTTGTTCGGTATTGCGAGATTTAAGTGAACTAAGATCTGGTAGAATATTTCACTCCCAGGTTCGTAGAGGACACCCCGTACAGGTGTTCAGTCTTGCCCTCTGGTAACTGTGTTCGGAAGAGTAGTCGAATTGACATCCTTTTATCCTTCATGATTGAATAAGCTTTCCTCTACCAACAAGTCCACGACCTAAGTAGTGAGTTTTACATTTCAATTATTTGAAAAATAAAAATAGAGTTCGAAACACCCGGGCTACATCAGGTGCGCATAACTGTCTTTAGCTCCCTTCCTTGTCACATGATTGGCTACCTTGATCAAACCCCCCATCTCCGTATCGAATGCTTGGTATACTCCGCAAACTCATCTATGGCTTTTCCTCCATGATCAAGGGTGGGTGATGAGCAGGGCTCCGATCCTCCCATCTAATCTGATCGTGATTAGCTTCATGATAATGGTGGTAGGGGGATGTGTTGTGATATGAAGATGATACAGATCGCGAAAGCGATTGGGAATCCTCGTCGAAGTGAGGACCTTGTCACTCAATCTCGACTTTACAAACTTTACAGTGAGATCTGGAGGTTCGTTGGGGACAGCACTGACAGGTGTTGAGACTAGCTCTCCCTTGCCGTTGACTATATAGCCCATCTCATTTGACGGAATTTCGCCAATACATGGCAAGTTAGACATGACTTATTAATACACTTCCATCACCCTCGACCGCTGACTTTGATCAAAATAAACTCTGGAGTGCCGACCATAGCATTTGGTGCCAGTTGATTGTATCTAGCTTCCGACACCTAACAACGGTTCTCAGGTTACATGCCTGCTTTAACTTTTTGTCTCGCATGGTCTATATAGCGTCACGTATTACGACACTTCGGACAGTTGCAAAAACTGCTCTCACAGAAAGATCACGATGATCCTTGTCGAGCTTTCATTTATATGGTCATTGGCTCAGGATTTCGCTTACCTTCCCACATCTCTATGTAAAGATTGGCGTAGAAAGCTGACCAGGTTTCAGGCCACCATGGTGATTAAACGTAGAAGAGGTCAGAACTTCCTGTACAATCCATAAAAACGTAGTAATCTAGGTCAACGAATCAGAAACGTAGAGGGAAGTTTGCTCGACGATAAGTCAAGTAGAAACTTTGCTACAACGTCCATCCTAGGTGGTTGACACGATTCTCCATTCACGGCTTTTGATTCTATTCAGCCTGACCCAATTTACCTTTTACATGATGTGGAAGTTGACCATCTATCCATCCATCCGCCGATCCACCTACCCGGATGTACGCCAATATCTACTAAATGAGATTATATTTATGGAGCAGTCAATTGGTGGGGTAGTGAAGGACGAGACATTCTAATCGTTAGCGTCGTGCTGGAGAAAGAAGCCATTTACAGAACAGACTCATGAAATGCCTGTCGACATCTAGTCAAATTGGTTAAACAAGGTGAACTATCGCGTGTAGTGTGCCCGAAGTGAGACATCTTAGGTTCATCTCTCCGCGTCATTCGGGAAGATGCACTGCTACACTAATGCAGAGGAATACTCTAGAATATTCAACCACACAGACGTGTCGTTAGATGCGTCGCGGAACAACAATTGTGTTGTAGGCGAATGAATACGACACCAGGTATCCTTGCATGCTGAACTTTACAGATCCAGTCCTTGGCAACCTCCCCACTAGCCACTTTTGATACGATGGCTTTGGAGCAAAGTGGATTGGAACGACGGAGAAGGATAAGCTAAGGAGAGGCGCAATCTTAAAGAAAGATGGATGAAGAAAATTTGCATCCGCAACATCTTGCGCGAAGGGATGAATTATAGCTCAACTGAAACTGAGACTCAGGCCAGAGCTTGTTCCATCACGCTAGCTATCTTCGACGCTCTTGGCCGATGGAATCGTCAACCCAATGACCTCGAGCCAAGTGTGGGAAGAGAACTTGTGATGCAGACTCAACCAGTCGTAGTTCCTGCTCGATAGATTGGCAATTTACTGCACCTCTGAAGTCTCTCTGCTGTGCTCCACCCATCTAAGTTTGGAAAATGAGAGTTCGGCGACGATGATGATGATGGGAAGAAAATAGAGGCAAAAGCTGTGTATAAAAATCTTGCATTTTCCACTCTCACCACCTCACATTCGCTCATTCTATTTCATTCTTTCCAGCTTAACCCTCGTTTGTCGAGGAGCTGCCGTTCAAGCTCCACTCACTTTTATCAACAACGCCACAGCCGCAAGATGCGACTTCTCGGAACTCTCGCAGCTGTCCCCTGTGTCTTCTCGGTCTACGTCGCTGGGGAACATGGGTATCTCTGCTCGGATGCTGAAGGAACTACAAACACAACCTATGATCAAGCTCTCGTGGAGAAAAGTGTGACGGATGCATGTCTTCCAGACAGCGAGCTGTCCGCGGCCGAACTCGCGGCAAACGTCGAGGCGAAGAAGTATCCTCAGGTCTGGGTTGACTCGGAGGATTATGGCTTCAACGAGACCGTTTTACTTTGGAAATACCAAAGAAACAGCTCTGAGTCTCTAGGTAAGGCGTCACCAAACTTACATCATATTTTCGAAACTCTCAACCCCTCAGATAGCCGGTAACTAACTATTATGCAGAAGAGGCTGATGTCCTTGTTTTTACCAACAAATCCTGTGACATTCTGGGATTACTACAGACATCCGATGACCAGTATACGATCTGCGAAGATGTGAAGGAACAAAATGACAAGAAAACAAGCTCGGAGATATTGTCTAAAAAGCCTCGACCTGGTATCTTTAGTGGCAGAGGAGGAATTTATGACTTACTACCTGGACAGGGTGATTCTCCTGATCAAGCCATTACTATTCCACAACCTCATTTCGATGACTTCGACGCGCAGGGGCGGCGTATTCCAAGGCGGATCGCGCCTCAACCATACCCTGGACAGGGAGGTGGACCACCTCCAAGTATGCCGGGGCCCCCGATGGGTGGTCCTCCAAACATGTCAGGGCCCCCGCGTGGTCCCCCTCCAAACATGTCAGGGCCTCCGCGGGGACCACCTCCTATGCAGGGCCCACCTGGTGGCTTCCCTCCTAATAGTTGCGGACCCCGCGGTTGTCCACCACGTTAGCGTTTCTTCTGGGGCGCCCAATACTAAAATCCCACCTCGGGGAAGTTACGTTAGAGACTCAAGCAGTGACTACTCGGAAAAATTTGTTATGGATAATTATCAAGACATATTTGAAAATATGGAAGTAAGGACAATCCATCAGTTGGAGACTACAGGAGTAGTATAGATAAGAGATTTTGGTATCGGAAACTATGTGCAGAATCAGTAAGAATATTCAATTGCTATTAAAAGAAAAAATATCAATAAATTTGTAAATGCCAATCATAATCAATTCATATGTGATTTACCTCGTTTATTTCTGAAATGTTTATGTTGGTAGGTGTAATCACTGAGTAACTGCTTGCAGTCAATTTTCAATGATCTTTAATTACTTTCAATTCTATCATCTGTGAGGCGCTGGAGAAAATTCAATCGCCGTGTGTCACTTGAAGTAGCCATGTGATACAATGGGCTTGTGCGTCTAGAATAACAATTTCACTAGGCCCTTCAAACTCTCGCCAAATTTCAAATTTCGGGCAGCTAGCAGTCTCGAGGAGTGTGTATGCTGTTTGTCCACAGGGTACAAGTGTGAGTAAATAGGGGGTCAAGGTCTTCCACAAGAAGAGATTGAGAGCACGTCGTGATCTGATACGAGTACGGGCTCGAAGTGGTCCTCACAAGTAAGAAATGGAATACCTAGATTAAGAATAATATTGAGAAGACGTTGTGTGAAGAAGGCAACTCGACTGGAGGCTACGCTTTATTATGTACATGCTCGTGGGCTGGATGGTGCAGTGGTACGCCATCCGGGCCGTTCTCCCAAGCAGATACTGGGTAGCTTCAACACCTACCCCAATCGAGACAGGAGAAAGCTGGTTCGAATCCAGTAAAACCCAAATACCTCTCTCTCTCGCCGTGATATTGTGCTTGTGGGATGATGATGAAATCACAATTGGATAGCCACATGTTTCTCACGCTTTTCCCTGTGGTGGGTATGCACGGAAGAGGTTATACGCCGTAAGGGTTAACCTCGAGTGGTATCTGCAAATGAAATCTGAGTGTGAGTGTTCTAATCGTCAAATTGAGTCATCCTACTTAAAGTACATATCTTCCGATAAAAAACCTGCATGGGCCTCAAGGCGCCAAATCAGGTAAAATGAATTATATATATGTACATGCTCGTAGTTCACTGTTACGTTACCTTTCCCTACTCTAGCCTGCTAGATTTGTATGCTAATGGTAAACCATCATTCTAACCCCTGTTATTATTCCGTGGAAAGCAGCTAGCTAGACGAACAGCACACGGGCACCCTGTACTAGAGCAGGAGCAGTCAGTATTAGATTGTGCCCCGGACATTCTGGAATCCTCGGAAACGAAGCGGCAGACTCTCTAGCCAAGTCAGCATGTCTAATGCCTACATCGTCTCTCCCTCTGTCCACAGCAAGGGCAAAAAGGAAGGTGGCTCAGCTCTACAAGGCCTCCAGCGACGCCTTCTGGGAACGAGAGGCTCCGGCTAGATATAAAGAACTCAAAATTGGTCCTAGTTCAGGAATAACCGCAGATCCTAAAAAGCTTAGATCGGCAGACGTTTGGGGCGCTCATCGCAGCTCGCTCAGGACACGGAGATTTCGCCCCATATCATCGACGTTTCACAAACGAAGATGCCCTAATGACTTGCTCCTGTGGCGTAGAAAAAAGCCCTGATCACTTCTTATCATGCAGTATAGGAAGAAACCTTGCCCGCCTTCGCGGTGGACCTCGTCATCCTTGCCCCGGCATCATATGGGTACTGGGCACGTCTAAAGGCGCCCTCGCCTTTGGAAAATGGATCGACCTTACGAAGTTATACGAAATCCAACGAGCCCAATGGATATTTTCAAGAGAAATCTTGCGATCTGGCGTGGGATTATTGTCAGATGAAAGGACTTATTATTATTTTCTTTCTCTACGGGCGTAATTTCAGACTACTTGTAAAACAAATGTGAAGTTTCTTGGGAAGGGAAATTTGCTACATTTTGTTGAAATACAGGGCTAATCCTAGTAATCAGGATTAACATATGTCCTTTATGATGTTTAGACCAACTATTGTAGTATATATGTAGCGAAGCTCCCCGAGCCCTTAATAGAAATCAGTTGAACCAGTATATTCTTTTTACATATTTATATTAGAAAGCAGCGTGGCGGATAGATGTTTTTTTATCTCAATTAGTACTAAGCTAATGCTCAATGTCCATTATGAGTGCAGGACCGATGGAGCTGGCAGAGTTCTCTGTAATTTTTCCTGAAGCCCAACTCGTTCCAACCTCGTAAATTGTAGCTCAAGGTGAAACCGATTAAATAGAAACCAAAAAAAACACGAAAATCAAACCACTCCGAAAGGCTGAGGATTCCTTCACATTCCAAATGATAAATTTACCCAATCTCCGCTGAGAGAAAGGGATGAGTTAGCAGGCACCTTTGATCCAGCCGGTATCCTACTATTGATTAGTAGATGCCCCGAAAGGAGACATCGTCGAGGTTGCTGTGTCCTCAAACTTCTTCTTCAGCTTCCAGGGCTCCGAAACCTGTAGCCTCGGCCATTGAGACGTCCTTCGCAGCGGCGATAATCGCCTCTTCGGCCTTTTTGACTGCAGCCCTAGCTCGAGCCACCTTGGAGAATTCCCTTGTTCTATGTGGCAGATCCACGCGAGCTGCTCTTTTGTCACCGGTCCGGATTTTCTGAGTCTGGCTTTGCAGTCCCGAGAATCCAATCGGTGGGGTCCCCCACAGTTACGATACTTTGTGAGGGCCTTGCACTCGGCTTCCGAGTGCTAATTTGATCCGCAGTTCCGGCAGGCTGGAGCGCGGGAGCAACCACGGGTGGCGTGGAAGCCCAAACAGCGTTTACACTGTTCGATTGTTCGACGAGGCTGGACATTTGTAGCCGCTCCATGCTGGTCGAGAATGCGGAGTCCCGGTCGAAAAGGGCTTGCCAATTTCTGTAAGGCGTATCAGGACGGCATGTCCCGTGCGGTCGAACCTGGATTGAAAGCACGCCGGTCGTACTGAGAACCTTGGCGGAGACCAACTGATCATCGACCGCCCTAGGGCCGCGTACTGTAACTATACTTACAGGTACGTTCGGTATCTATAAGGCGACAAGATTCGAAGATGCCTCGATTTTGGCGTTTTCATTTGCCAGCTTCGAAGAGCCATCTAACGTCTCTTGTCTTATTGTATCGTTCTTTGCTAGTATAGCAAAGCCGGATCTCACTCAATGGAGTGAGGTTATTTGATTGTCAAAGTAGTCGAATGTATACTCCAATCTGGTTCTCACGCAACTTGTGGACAATTTTCGCCACAGGTGGTCCTTTTTGAGGCGAGGGAATAGTCGCTAATCGACTTTCGCATTTGGGGTTTCTTTCCTGGGGCTTTTGCCACAGGTCGCGGAATAGCCTTTGCTGTAGGAACTGCTTTTTGTGGCAGTCCATTTTTAACTACCGTGGCCCAGGTGCTTTTGAGGGGCAACGCTGGGACAGCGGGAATTTGTATGTTCCTGGCGTCGGGAGCCCTTGGGAGGGGGTTTGCCGGGCGAGGTGGGAGGTCGGATGGTGTGATGGCCGGGCCCGTGGCCATAAATTGCGCGATGGCGGCGCGTAGGTAGACCTTCATCGAGTCTACGAATTGTCTGTTTGACCCGTTGGTCAAAGGGAGGAGGGTTACTTCGACGCCAGAGATGGCGGCGGGGCAGAGGGCCAGGTTTGCCGCTGCTTCGGCGGCGCGTCGTTGTTCAGCTTCGACAATTGGTCGAAGCTTGGGGGGACACTTTGCTTTCGTAGCAGCTTTCGGCTGCGACGTTAATTTTGGCGCTTATATAGGTGCAGTGTTTTCCGACGGTTTTGACGCTGTCGGAGGAGATTTTGACGATTCTCAAGTCCCGTGAGGGACGGAGGATGGATGGGGGAATTCCTCAACAATTTCAACTGACCCGATCATGTCAGTATCGGGCTCAGTGACGGCGGGGAGGGCTTTTTCCTTCCCTTTGATAGAGACCTTGCTCATCTCCGCGCATTTAGGAGACTAGGCAAGGCCAGGTACTCGTTCGAGAGCCCTCGGGTGGACTCTCGTGTTGTCCAACTTGGCGTTGGGACGCTTTTTGCGAGCTGGAAGCATGGTGAAAATGCCCGAGCTCGATCACAATTCAGAGATGGATGCGACGAGGTGGAGGAGGGAGGAAAGAGAGAAAAAATGAATTTTCGAATTTCTCGAAATGGGCGTTTAGTTTGTTCATTAAAGTGCTAGGTGAAGTAACTAATGTCGCACTCCAACTGGAACTTAAGCACGAGTGGGGTCGGGCCGGATCAGGTTAACTACCGTGCATTACAAATGCCTCGTCCCACCTAAATGACTGGAACCATGCCAAAATGCATCTATGTGTTGAATCATGTCAAGCCTGAACATCCAGAGAACCCTCTCATGGCGCGCCGAAGCGCAAGTTATTCCTCAACCTCATCCACGACGTGCCCAAGCCCATAATCCCTTCGCGGTCTATAACTTTTCTCTCCCTTTCCATTCAGTTCCAGCTTTGGCTCATCTCCTCCACTCATCCAGGGATAGTTTTCTATATTGGAAGCCTCATACAGTCGCCCACCAAGGCCTCCTCAGTTTGTACTCCCTTTTGTTCCTTCATGTAGCATCACTCTTTCCTTCAGCCGATCTCGTCATCCCAGAAACTTTGTGTTATGGTTTGACCTTGGTTTAGCTTAGGTTGAGACCTAAGCGGAGTTTGTGGGCGTATTAGGAAGAGTGTTACATATTATCTTGTATCAAGCGACTAAGTTTCACTTGGCCACATTAGATTGGAGATGGAAGGAATGTGAGACGGCGAAGTAGAATTGCCAAGTGAGAGAGTCAGCTAGATGGCAAAGATGACGAATGGTAGTGGCGGAGCAATATGTCATTCTCACCAACGGAGTATGTACTGGATGAGCTAGATCGATGTAAAAATAGTCATTACTCGTAGTTGTGGTACTTCTCTCTTCATATAGTCAATCTTTCTAAAAGTACACTACTACCAGCTTGGTTTCGTCACACTTTGTAGAATGTCCACCCCTCCGGCCTTGCCCCGTCGCTGCCGTACCCCTAACCGTGGAGGTCGAAAACGCGACTGAGAGCTCAAGACTGAGGCACCGGTGCCCCAGCCTTTGTCGAACGCTCTAGTTAGTGTGCCGGCAAAATGTCGTGCGTACTTCGTCGGTGGCGATTCGTCGTAGGTCGAGTTGTTGGTGCCCTTGGCCAAGGTGAGGACACATTTAAGGCCAGTATTTCGACAGTACCTTCACAGCGAGTGGCAGTTACGGAGAGTCGGACATCCTCTTGCTTCTTTGTTGGCGAATTGACTTGTGGATGTACGGAATTGCTTTGGTGGGTGATGAGATGGTTGTGGAGAGGGCCGCCAGATGAGTTTGGCTGGGAATGATTTTCCAGAGAAAAAGAAAATAAGATCTTGAAGGTGTCGGTCGTGTAATACGTGTTTTAATAAAACAGTTCTGCATCAGTATTGATGCAGGATCTCTGTTTGTGCACTGCTACATGTAACTCTTAGGAGGGCAAGACTGAACACCTGTACGCGGTGTCCTCTACGAACCTGGGAGTGAAATATTCTCCCAGAGCCAAGTTCAGTCAAATTTCGCAATATCGAACAAGTTGGCCCACGAGGCAAAAATTCAAATTACTCCTCCACGTCGTTTTTTCGCTCCCAACGAGTTTGACGCCTACCTAAGTCTCATCGAGTATACAAGTACGACCCAGTACATCCTCATTCCAATGACCACACCACTCTTCGACCTTCTCTGGCCTCAGCTGGTCACCAAATACACGCCCACGCCGATATTTATACCCGACGGAGGAAGCAAAGCGTGGCGCACAAATCTGGGAGACAGTTCTTTGGGATGGACGTGAGAGGAATCAGGACAAGTTTACAAGATGATGCGGAGGAAGGATATAACCTCGAAGGGCGTGAGATTCCGAATTTTGGCAAGGAGTTTTACGAATTGAGCTTTGTGCGCGCCAAGACTTCGCTTGCGAGAGTGCAGCTGACACTATAAAAACAAGCCAACGATGGAAGGTGTTGTGGTCCGCCTCCTGGTGGTATTCTCTGGTATAGTTTGAGTAGCCTGGGCACCTACTCCACTTGGGAAGGAGACATCTCAGATCATATTTCGCGCGGAGAGAAGTTGAATGATGATGGAGGCATGTCTGGATAACTCAGGGTTTTTGAGACGTTCCCCTGGGAGGGTATTCACGGATGAGGGTTGTCTTGGGATGAAGCAGAAGCCACCATAACTTCGCAGTGGTACTTGCAAATGAAATCCGAGGCATGAGTGCTTTTCCTTTAAGTTGAATCATCTATTCTGTACTTTTCTTTGATATTGTGTCATAGCTAGATAGCTGCATACGCAATTAAAATCTGATGCAAAATAAAAAAAAAATGTAACTCTTAATTCACTTGTAACTTGGTTCCATGTTTAATATAGTCACGTCTGTTTCTTGTCTTAGTCGCGGGGGTTCACTAAAATACAAGGCTAAAATATCATTTGGATAACGTTGTCAAGTTGAGACATTGGCACGTACCTCATCAATCCCCCAACTTTCGTCAAACCAAGTTTGATTCCTGTATATAGATGTAGTCTCTCCTACCTCCAGAGATCTTCAGTTCATTATATTAACTGAATATCTCTGAAGGCTATATTCATCGCTCCTCTCGTCAACTCCACAGCTTTACATTTAAAGCCCCGTTCACCTGCTCTTGTGCTCGATTACTACTGTTCCTTCCTCTCCATCAGCCCGAAATCCCTCCAGATCTTTAACCTCACAACAATACGAACATTAGTGAAGTTATGGCCTGACTGTGGTTCGTATCAGGGTTGTAAATGGTTGATTTTTTTGAGTTGCGCAGTCGTGAAATCTCTGCTAGTCGGATTCTCGACCAAAAATGAGCCAACACCACTCCTTCCGATTGCTAACTCGACGAAAAATCTCAAATTCACCCTTTGTCGTGACTGAATCTCGGCTTTGGGAGAATATCTCACTCCCAGGTTCGTAGAGGGCACCACTGACAGGTTTTCAGTATTCGTCCTCCATGGTGGACAGCTGATCGGACTCATGTGTAATTTCTAGTTGCTGTAGGGCGCTAGAGCGTCAGGTAGGAGTGCAAGACTGAACACCTGCTCGCGGTGTCCTCTACAAACCTGAGGGTGAAATATTCCCACAGAGCCATGTTCAGTCAAATTTCGCAATATCAAAGAAGTTGGCCCACGAGGCAATGATTCAAATTATTCCACCACGTCAAATTTGCACTCCCGAAGAGATCGAATCCTACTTTAGCCTCATCAAGTCTGCAAGTACGACCAAGTACATCCTCGTCCCAATGATCACACCTCACTTCGACTTTCTCTGGCCTCAGCTGGTCGACAGACACACGCCCACGCCGATGTTTACACCCGACGGAGGAAGCAAAGCGTGGCCTACATATCTGGGAGACAGCTCTTTGGGATGGGCGTGAGATTTATCAGGACAAGTCCACAAAATGATGCGAAGGAGAGATACATTCTCGACGGGCGTGAAATTTCGAATGTGGCAAGGAGTTTTACAAATTGAGCTTTGTGCGTGCCAAGGCATCGGTTGGGAGAGTGCAGGCGACACTATAAAAACTGCCATGGTTGGATGGTGCGGTGGTACATCGTCATGGCTGGTCTGCCAAGTAGAGTCTGGATAGCTTTGACACATGTCCCACTCGGGACAGTCGATCGCCGGTTCAAATGCGGCAAAACACAACCACATCTCTCGCGGCGCTAGTATACATGGACGACGTTGGAATGCTTGAAAAATCAAAGGTTATGAATTTCCCTTGGGCGGGTACTTACGGGGGAGGGTCGACAGTTTGTGTAGGCGAACACACCTGATAGTGGTATTTCTAAGTGAAATCCAGAGAATGAGTGTCTCTAACGTCAAAAGAGTCATCCAATATGTAAATACAGCACCGGTCATGTGTCATAGCTTTATAGATGTATACACATTAAATGATTCGAGAAAAATCTGTATCTACTTGTATGCCAAAGGCATAAACCAAATTTCAGGCTTACTGGAGCAAGTGTTCAGACAGGAGGAAAAAAGAAAAAGGGAGAAAAGAAGACTTATATATCATACACAGTTAAATTTTCGTTATTTTAAGTGAAAGTTCCCGAGTGATCCATGATCTAGTTTAATTTTTAGCATTATCAAATTTAAATTTTGAATTAGCTTAGAAGGTCTGATAGCTATTTCGGAGACTTACCTTACTTTAATGTCCTCTTTTACAGACAAGAGCCGACTTTCATAATACTCGTTTGAAATTGTACGAAGAAGCCGACGATTTACTAGGACTTCAGAATCTAGGGAAGTACTTGGTTTATTTCATGACTTTCTTTGCTTTGTGAACTGCCGATATCTCGAATTTCGGTTCGGAAAAACCCTTCATTTTAGATAAAAATAAACGAGTTAGAATCTCCAGATGTGTGTTCATCACCTACTCTGCAATGAATAAATGTATGTAGGTGCGAATAACACATAAGGGTAGCTGAAGATTTCTCTCGTTACTTTCAAATGGAGAATATGATATAGAGTATTAGTTCTAAAATTAGGCCTCAGTTTGGGCTCAAAAATTTTCCATCGCGTCAGTAGTTAATCCATAAGTGATCGTTATAATCTTAATCACGATACTTGACTTCATGGCCGAGCCAATGTTGGGCCTGGATTATTGCCGAGAAAAATCGACCATTTTTGTAGGACAAAAGAGAGCTAATGTGTCTAGAAACAAGTAAAACACGTTTCTCATGTAATTATTCTTAAAATAATCTCAGGGAAGCTCAGTTCTCAACGCTGTGAATTGGAACGATAGAGATCAAGTAAATTTCCTATGAGCATTACCTAGTCTGCAAAATAATCGGCTCTCCGCTTTCCATTGCCCTTTTTGCCTTTCTTGAAGTGTTTCTTGCTCATTAACATCTTGATATCTTCTGGATTCATGTTTTTTTCGAGTGCTAGCAATGTTCTTTGTTTTCGTCCTGACAACAACTTACTACTTTGAGTACCTTGCTGACTATATTTATGACTAAATGGCATTTGTATGTATGAAGAGTCGCCTTGCTGTGTAGCGAAGAATGTCTTGTCTAGTTTCTTTGATTTGGGTCCTTGCTCTGTGAACAATTCGATTGGTAAAGTTTGAGTTAAGTGATCATCAGAAGGAACCTCAGATAGTATTGAAGCCTGTTGGTGCTTGTCGGGTAGGTGATCCTTGTCATATATATCTTTATTAAATTCTTGAGGGTCAAGACCAGTAGGTGGTGGATGACAAAAGAGCAATTTTCCATTAACATAGTCTTTTAGGATGTACCTTGCAGCTCTTGATTCGTCAGGCTGGCCTTGACCAGATCGAGTAAACCCCCTAGCCTTAGCATACGCTACTAAAACCTCTTCTGCCGTAGGAATACCTGTTCCACCTTCCTCAGTAGGTTTTTTCACTATCGTCATACCATAAAGGGCCTCGAGAAAATTTTGGGGAATCCTTTTCGCAACAAGACCGGCAGGACCACTAAACTCTCGAAGCTGATCAATAGGAAGAATTCCGTTGCAAACTAATTCTGCTTTTATTGTCGCAAAATTTGGAAATACAAGACCAGGGCAATCACATAGTATAACCTCGTCGCTAAGATTAATCGTCTGAAAGTGCTTTGTCTTGCCAGGAGTGGATGACACGGAGACTTTTTTGGCACCAATCAAAGCATTAATCGTAGAGGACTTCCCTACATTTGGGTACCCAACTAGTCCAACTTGAATCCTAATAGGATCAGATTCGGAACCTAACAAATATTAGTGAGTTTATTTTCAGCGAAGCCCTGGCATACCTGATCTTCTACGAGCATATCGCAAGAATAAGTTCTCAAGTTCATCAACTGTTAGTATACGAGTACTTTCCGATTCATCATCCATATCACCTTCACCAAAGTCTTCAGAGTCACTTTGGCCATCATCATCGTCATCTCCCTCTTCTTCTTCTTCTTCTTCTTCTTCTTCTTCTTCTTCTTCTTCTTCTTCTTCTTCTTCTTCTTCTTCTTCTTTTTTATTTCCGTGACTTTCATCTGTACTATTTTTAAATTTACGGATAATGTCAGACTCGTCGAATCCAGGATAATTAGAGCTGTCTTCCTTTTTACTCTGTGAATCATAATATAAATCACGTGCTTCATTCAGTTCCTTAGCCATGCTCGCTGAGAAAAACTTGTATGATATGCCGATAGATTTGAAGTATACTGCCCAGGCCTTACGCTGACTTGTACTCAGCATGTCTGCCTTGTTGACGAGTAATAAATTTTTCTTCTTTGAGTCAATTTCATTAACGTAATTTTCTAGATCTTCTGAGCGAAATAGCAGAGGGTTTCGGGCATCGACAATTTGAACAATCAAGTCTGATCTCTCTATGACACGCCATAGTTGTCTCCAGACTTCAAGGTTGCGCTCGAAAGGAGTCATAAGGAGATCGTTACTTTCCTGAAGCTCAGCGAGCCCCCTTCGCCAATCCAAAAAGCTATCTCGTTCCATTTTATCCAACTGTTCGGGTGTAGTTGCTGTGTCCCATTTTGGTCGCCTTGGAATGGTTAATCTTTTTTTGTGCGCCTCCTGCTTCCCTTTAGCTTCCCGTTCTTCCGCGGCAGATAAAAGAAATGGATTCTTCTGATCAATATGTATTATCTTTAAATTATTCATCTTTTCAGCTGTAAAGTCTGTACCTGCTAGCTCGGCTGTGGAAAGAAATTCGTCAAGAGCGGGCTGCTGGGTCACCGACTGCATTTTGACCCAGCTGGCTTCCTTCCGCTCATTCGTAACGTACTGAAGAATGTTAGTGATTAGTTATAGAAATTTATTATATTACCGTCTCTCCTGTAGCATGATTGACCCGATGAACACCGGTTGTTGTAAATTTCTTACGATCTGAGCCTCTACCTTTTCCGAATCGATCATTCATCAAACTATTTAAGTTAGCGGGCAGGATTGAACAGAAACATGAAGCACACCTATTTCCAAGCCCAACTGCATTTTTAGATTTTGCTAGTACCATAATTGCGTGTGCTGTGATATAACGTATTTTTTTGGTGTTTGATAAATAACACGACTGGTTGGCGTGGGGTATTTGGAGTTATCACGTGCTGACCTCGCCTGATAAGGGAGTGGGGTAAGGAGGCATGTATTTTTAGGATATTCATACAACGCTTTCGTCTCCGAATATAATTTTTTAACCGACATCCCCTACAAGACGTCAGCCTCTAAACTAGAAAAAAGACGATGGCTCGAGGAAAATGGATCGACAAGAAGACTGCTACGAATTTTACCCTTGTTCATCGTTCTCAAAACGATCCACTTATACATGATGCTTCGGTGTCATCGATGATACTCAAACCCACAGCAGCCCCAAATGCCAACATTCCCAAAAAGTTGGATGAATTGGCTTCCGAGCTTGGAGACGATGTTCATAAAATTAGAGATAATGAAGGGGAAGCCGCCAACCATGGTATATACTTTGACGATTCTGAATATGATTACATGCAACATTTGCGTGATTTAGGAAGCGGCTTTGGAGACTCATATTTCATGGAGGCTCCTTCAATTAAGGCTAAGGAAAAGGGTAAGGGAAAGCTTTCCCTAGAAAGTTCGCTTAGCGACATGAGCCTGGAAGATCGCGCAAAGGCATTACTGGGCGAAGAATTAATTCCTGCCAATAATTTAGTCAAGCCTTCATATCAGTCACAGCAGGACATTCCCGATTCTCTGGCTGGATTTCAACCTGATATGGATCCTCGGCTCAGGGAAGTCTTAGAAGCGCTTGAAGATGATGCATATATTGATGATGACGATGATATATTTGACAAACTTTCGAGTGAAAAGGAAGTTGCTGAGAATGGCGAGCTTTATCATGAGAGTTGGGATACTCAGGACTCTGATTGGGATTCAGATGTGACAGCAAAACCTTCAAACGCCTGTAAAGATGGCACAAATTTAAATTCTGGGCTAGATGGTGAAGGAAAAGAGTCTGAAGATCAATGGGCTTGGATGGATGACTTCAATAAGTTTAAGAGAGAGCAGAAGAAAAATCAGCCTCCTATTCCATCATCTCAATTATCTTCTGTCATGACGACCACCACAAACGGTGGCAGGCGTAAAAAGAGAAAAGGGGCTTTGACAAATCCTTCTAGCTACTCAATGACTTCATCCTCTATGGTTCGTACAGAAGGACTATCGAACTTAGACGCGAGGTTCGAAAAGATAGAGGAACAATACAATATGGATACAGAAGATATGGCATCGATTTCAGAAGTATCCTCTATGGCCTCAGCATCATCAACAGTTCAAGGATCGATACGGGGAGATTTTGATGGCATAATGGATGAATTTCTAGGAAATTTTTCTATGAGCGGAAAGAAACATGTTAAGAAGGGAAGATACCAAAACGGTATAGAGCAGCTTGACGAAGTTCGAAAAGGATTGGGCAAAGCGATTATTCGCTCAAATAGAGTCCTTTAGTACGCACTCGAATAATCAAAAATTGGCAGATGAAACAAACTAGCCTGAATGAATTTAAGGATGATAGTGATGATTGCTTTTTTTAATGTCCAAGTCTCAGGGAAATATAAAACAGTACATGAGCAGTCATAAGAATAAGAGAAAATAGGACTAGAGCTGAAGCTTTGCAAGCGAATTCTTTTCAAATAAAACTAAATTTAATGATATAATGGTTTGCCTGTTGCAAACAATCAAAATATTCTGCCCCAGAACGCACTCGATATTTTTGTTCCATGTCCAAAACCTTCTACGCTCCAAAATCTTGTGAAAATGTAGCCTTGTGTATAGAGGAATACCATATCAAACTTCCATGCAGGTTTAGGTGATCTGTTCCACAAAAGCATAGTCTAGTCTATGCGTGAGTTGGAAAGGTAGTTAAGAAATAAGATGAATCTTATGAAGTTTCTCGAAAGAATTAACTCTGTTAGAAAAAAATATTGTGATGGAAACTGTGCTGGTGCTCAACAAGTCAATTTATTCAAATATGTGAAGAAAAAAGATATCTCTGTTGGAAAATCGTTTTGGGATCGATGAGTAAGGCAGCTCATATAATATTGGCGCGATGTGTGAATAGAATAATAACGATATTAATCGGAAGAATATGCGATATACTATGGAGAAATAAATATTGGATTAAATTAATTGATAATCTGTCTTAGGGATCCTTAGACAGCTCATATACATATATTTCAGTAATACAAAAATAAACCAAGTATCGATCCCGAGCCTAGTTCCATACTCTGGCAATTCTAATGAGGACAGGGTTGGTGAATCAAACTCTACCCGACGGGTATCATATCACTCCATGCTTCAGTCGAGTCTCTCACATCAAACATGCTCATTGAAGTGATTGTCATTGATTCCGATCGTGAGTAAGATGTGAGAATCTTTGTTGTTCCAACCCTAGGGAAACTTCAAACATACAGGGTGTGGATTCCAATAATCTCTAGCTAATACTAATAGGTACTTGTAGCCGGAACCTTAGTAGGGCCCAAAGCAGTATTGCAGTTCAGATAAGAAGTGAGCACATTGGTCTCAATTCTTATCTGTACCGAGGCAAAGTCCTCGGAGTGATTAATCCAAAATGACAGTGTGGATATCCGTCTCAAAATATCAAACCTATGGTCTTGGCGTGTCCTCAGTGGGCAATGGGAAGAGGAGAGGTGCTCCGAAAGGCAAAAGATAGGAACTTTGCGGCAATGATGAACAGCCCAGATGATATAGAGAGAATCACAAAGTGGATCCTGGCAAAAGGCCGGTTTGAACAATTCCGGCTTGCAGGAGAAGTAGAAATAGTATTGGACGAATAGATGAGACGATGTGGACGAGGATAAGACGGAATTCACACTGTGTAAACAGTGTAAAAGCACTTCCTGTAGGAAACCTCAGAAAACCAATAGACACGAGACAGACATTTTTAGGGGATTTTTACCGAATTTTGGTTTCCTCCTGTGTAAATGTTATAGCTAGATATACCTGCATGGGCCCAAAGGGTACCTGGACGGGTTAAACAAAATCAAATTAAAATAGGTACTTGTAACAATTGATCCACTTCGTAAATCTGCTGACGGATAGCTCTGCACTAGGCCGAATACTGCGACATCGATAGGAAATCCTGATGGAAGCAAAGATGTGGGTGCTTCTCATTCTCAGCTCTATAAGCTCGTCAGTGAGAGCTGGAGGTTCGGAGGGCAAGACTGAACACCTGTACGCGGTGTCCTCTACAGACCTGAGTGTGAAATATTCTCCCAGAGCCATGTTCAGTCAAATTTCGCAATATCAAAGAAGTTGGCCCACGAGGCAATGATTCAAATTACTCCACCACATCAAGTTTTCGCTCCCAACGAGTTTGATTCCTACCTAAGTCTCATCAAGTCTACAAGTACGACCTAGTACATCCTCGTTCCAATGACCACACCTCTCTTCGACTTTCTCTGGCCTCAGCTGGTCGCCAAATACACGCCTCGCCGATATTTATACCCGACGGAGGAAGCAAAGCGTGGCGCACAAATCTGGTAGATAGCTCTTTGGGATGGACGTGAGAGGGATCAGGACAAGTTTACAAGATGATACGAAGGAAGAATGTAACCTTCGAAGGGCGTGAAATTTTGAATTTTGGCAAGAGTTTTACGAATCGAGCTCTGTGCGCGCCAAGACTTCGCTTGCGAGAGTGCAGCTGACACTTTAAAAACAAGCAAACGATGGAAGGTATTGTGGTCCGCCTCCTGGTGGTATTCTCCGGTATAGTCTGAGTAGCCTGGGCACCTACTCCATTTGGGAAGGAGACGCCTCAGATCAAATATCGCGCGGAGAAAAGTCGATGGATGATGGAGGCATGTCTGGATATGTCAGGGTTTTTGAGACGTTCCCCTGGGAGGGTATTCACGGATGAGGGTTGTCTTGGGATGAAGCAGAAGCCACCATAACTTAGCAGTGGTACTTGCCAATGAAATACAAGGCATGAGTGCTCTTCCTCTAAGCTGAATCATCTATTCTGGACTTTTCTTTGATATTGTGTCATAGCTAGATAGCTGCATACGCAATTAAAATCTGATGCAAAAAAAAAAACATAGTTTGATCCTGAAGTTCCTGATAATTAGCACGACTCACATTTGAGCCATGCATTGATAAGAGCTTGCATAAATAAAGTCACGTTGTTTCACCACTGATTCTTGCCTAAGAAGCCCTTGCGTCTTTGCGCAGACTAATATATTTTTTTTTGCATCAGTTTTTAATTGCGTGTGCAGCCATCTAGCTGTGACACATTGTCAAAGAAAAGTATTTAATAGATGACTCAGCATATAGGACGAGCGCTTATGTCTCAGATTTCATTTACAAGTAACACTGAGAAGTTATGGTGTTGAAATTATGGAGTTTAGAGATGAGTCAGGTAATGCTTAATGGAAGTAATGGATGAAGTGTTTGGTATTTGAGCTTTCTATGATTTCTGTGTTGGGATACACTTTGTCGATCCTACTAGGCTCGATAATTAGTAGTCCCTACCGACTGGTATTTGGCGAACGGAGATTGCGTATACCCTGTGCTAGCGTTGTTTACTGCTGTTAACAGGTGATCCCGCAAGGGCTATCTATTGGGGTTAAAAGGAGTCTGGTACCTGTGTTTAGGAGAGTAGTCGAATTGACATCCTTTTATTCTTCATTATTGCATAAGCTTCCCTTTACCAATAAGTCCACGAACTAAGTAGTGGGTTACACATTTCAATATATGGCGGCTTTTTCTTGACCTCAATTAAACCTGGAGAGGATGGGCTGCTTGTTGGGAAAGGGTGGATAATAGAGGCTGGTGCACGGACGCTATTCATGTACTTTTGTTAAGATTTTGGATTTGAATCGTACAAGCTGTTGTCATTTTATTAATACAAAAATAACTATGAATATAAGGAAAGTTTACAGGAGAACTTTCCTTGACTACAGCTATTTGAGCTAGTCCATATTAGTCACTTAAACCGCCGATCTCACAGAAGCTAAGACTAGCCCCTGGTGATATAATAATAATAATTTTTCATTATCCTGATTTGGCGCCTTGAGGCCCATGCAGGTGTCTACGAACTCTAATATTTATATGTGAGGAAACCTCTCCTATTGAATCCCACTCAACCTTCCAATTTATTTACACTTTAAGTTTGTGTTACCTTCGCGAAGTGCACTAATACTGTTTTATCCAGTGCGGATACCGTCCACTTCCTTATTTGTGGCAAGAGACCAATTCTCCTTGCTTACCTCTCTCTCACTCATCTTGGCCTCGACTTCAAGCGTCAGTCGAAACTGCTCTAGCCTTCCTTCCTGCTGGATCTATCTAGTTATCCTTGCAATATCAGAGGGATTGTTCATCATGGCCTCAAATGACCGGTTCTCTGCCTTTCTCAGTATTTCTCCTCTTCCTTTGGCTCGGCCGGTGCAGGCCACGATCATATGCTTCACATTCTGGGACGGATATCCACATTGGCATCGTGGATTATCTACTCCTGGAACTTTTCTTCGGTGCAGATAGGAATTGAACCCAGTGTGTTCGCTTATTCATGTACTTTATAATCTCTTCGCCTGCTAAACTTAGTGAGGTTTATATCCACATAATATCATTCTTCACTTCATCCAGTAAATGATATTATCAATCGTTAGAATGCGCATGTAGTATCTCCAAAGGTTATCATTGGCTACGCACTTGGTGCGGTTTCTTGTACACGATAGTAAGAATAAGATGATAAAAACTTGACTGAAATCCACGGATGTCTCGTGGCTCCGACTACGACAATCTATGTGTGTGTGGAGGTTGAGACTAGGTGAAAATTTGCATTTCTGTTAACGTCCTAACTCCTTAAATACACGAAATTTTCTATACTTCACATAGTGTAATGATCAAAAATACATGGCAAAGCAAACCATCAGAGTACAGTAGGTGAGGAGTGCATTCTCGATGGAACCTTAAGCTCGGCGGCTCGCTTGCCGTGAGACTTGGCGTTTCGCTCGGACTTGGAATTCAGGATCCTCACCAATATTCATCGTGGCATCAACCCAGCGTGAGTGCGCCAATTCCGCGGCTTCATATTGCACGAGCCCGTGACACTCCATCAAAGGACGGGAGAGTTTCGTAATTACTATATAACTCTCAGCTCATAAACACAACAAAATTTTCTTTTGTCTCTCGATTTGACACACGGAGCAGAGTGCTAGATTTGCCAACGTCTGGCCGGATTGTTGTTCTTTGGCCTCGAGTATCGGTTGGAGCTCGGGCGAGCAGTCTGCTTTGGTGGCAGCTTGAGGCAGCGACTCTTTAGTTGATTCTGCTTTTGGTGTAGCTTCCTCCGATTATTTTGACTCAATCGGAGGAGATTCGGACGATCTTCCAATCCCTTGAGGGATGGAGGGTGGTTGAGGAATTATCTCTACAATTACGGCTGACCAGATCATATCAGTATCGGGCGCCGAGATGGTAGAGAGGGC